AACGTGGAATTGCAGCCCCAATCCCTTCGATTTCTACGGGGCAGGAAGCCACGAGTCATTAGGCCGGGAGCGCTTCCCTGCCCATTGTCTCGCATGTCGCTTCTCCTCTCGACTCCGCCTCGATTGAGACCACCCCTTCTACCGTCGCCAAGATGGATCGTCCCCTTTGCCGTCGCCTCCGCTGCGTCTCCTCTACCAGCACCTCCGCCTCCACATGATGAGTCCCAAACCTCTTCCTCCATCCGCACCTCCCTGCCTCTGCTGGGGTTTCTTCCCTCTGTTCCTCTCACTGGCCCCTGTAGATCCAGGTTTGGACAGTAGCTAGTTGTTTGTGTGTTGAGCTGGGGGAACAGAGCAGCTGCGTGTCGAGGGAGCAAGGGCGGCGCGTTTTAGCGGTGGCGCTCAGCGGTGAGCAGGTGAAGCAGACTGCTGCCGCCGGTGCTAATTGAACTCGAGTTCAGTCATAATCTCACCCAGTTACCCCCTCCGATCACTTGATTTCATATGTAATTAATTTAGTCAGCCTTAACAAAAATTATTTCGGGTACAATGAGCTACTATATTGGTTTAAGGATCAATAGCGAATTATCAACAATTTGTAAGATATAAGGCCTAAACTCTGATAAATTTGGTACATAATTAAGAATTCAAGATTCACCTTCAGAGTTAGCAAACTGTTCTCTTAGCAAATTTGAATGGCTTCAAAACTATTGATCCTAGTATGTTAGTTAATCTGAACAAGGCCATTTGATATACCAAGAAGATTGATACTATAGATTTGTTCAAATTTTCCAGACATGTTATTCCTAAAACTGCTTCTAGACTAAGCTTTCAAAACTGAATGTCAAATTTGTTTTTAGAGTCGCAAGTACAGGGTTCATAGTTGCAGGTTTTCGGTCAAACTTTAACTCTTCCACACAAAATTATCATGATGTTTTGAACATTTTAACCGTTTTCAGGCTTGGCAAATTAGAACTAACTTTATCTTCTCAAAACATTCAAATTTAAACATCACATAAAAATAGGATTTTCACCAAACGTTTATCTGAGCTTTATTTTAAGCTGGACCACATCTTGTTGTCAACAACTTTTGTTTTGGCAATTTGCTAAGTATTTAAGAAAAACTTATTTGGTTATCCTCCAAATATGGTCAAAACATCATGATTACATACAGAGTAAAAAGAATTGCTGACTATTCTGTAGTTTGGAACCTAGAAGCCGCCGCTGTGTCATCTACCTGCTGCAATCTAATGTGACACATGTGCCCCGATCCCTGTGTGAAGCTGCACCGGTGAAAGGTCCTAATATGGCTAGACGGGGGTGAATCGTCTATTTAAAAATCTACAGACCAACTAGAGCAATTTAATTAGTACGATAAATAGCGAAATGCAAACTTGTTCTAGCTCTACAAGGGTTGCAAGCCACAATCCAATAATTCTAGTTGTTATGATCACTGCACACATAATTTGCTAAGTTACTACTCACTAAGAGCTCTCACACTTGCTACACTAAAGAGCTCCACTAGATGAACTTAAAACAACAAAGCAAGCTCTTAATTCTAATTACACTAAAGAGCTTGCTATAACTAGTTTGCAAAAATATAAATGAGTGAGTAGAGTGATTATACTGCCGTATAGAGGAGTGAACCAATCACAAGATGAATACTAAATCAATCACCGGAAGAATACCAAAGGACAAGAGACAACCAATTTTTCTGCCGCGGTTCACGTGCTTGCCAACACGCTAGTCCCCGTTGTGTCGACCAACACTTGGTGGTTCGACGACTAAGAGATGTTGCACGAACCTCGTCCACACAACTGGACACCGCAAGAACCTACCCACAATTGAGGTAACTCAATGAAACGAGCAATCCACTAGAGTTACCTTTCGGCGCTCCGCCGGGGAAGGCACAAGACCCCTCACAATCACCACGATCGGAGCCGGAGACAATCACCAACCTCCACTCGACGATCCTCGCTGCTTCAAGCCGTCTAGGTGGCGGCAACCACCAAGAGTAACAAGTGAATCCTACAGCGAAACACGAATACCAAGTGCCACTAGATGCAATCACTCAAGCAATGCACTTGGATTATCTATCAATCTCACAAAAATGATGTATCAATGATGGAGATAAGTGAGAGGGCTTTGGCTAAGCTCATAAGGTTGCTATGTCAATGCAAATGGCCAAGAGAGTGAGCTTGAGCCGGCCATGGGGCTTAAATAGAAGCCCCCACGAAATAGAGCAGTTGGCTCCTCAGTCCACTGAAAAACGGGGCGACCGGACGCGCCGGTCAGATCGACCGGACGCTGGACCCCAGCGTCCGGTCGCGCGATGTGTGCCACGTGTCCCCTGCTTCAAACGATGATCGCCCGATTTCAACGGTCATCGGTACATTTAAGTTGTGATCGGACGCACTGCTTCGAAGTGACCGGACGCAGGACCTTAGCGTCCGGTCGTTTCCAGTAAACTTCCATTCGTGAAAAATCATGACCGGATGCGTCCGGTCATGCCCGACCGGACTCACCCAGCGTCCGGTCACTCGACGTCTCCTCTGTGCGCTGCCACGTCAGCAGGACAGGACGCACCCCGTCAGCGTCCGGTCATTAAGTGACCCAGCGTCCGGTCGAAGACCGACGCCAGCGTCTTCACGCTTCCACTGACCGAACGCGCCAGTCCTACCGAGACCAGCGTTCGGTCACTTACAGTGACCTCCGTTTTTTTTGTACAGTGCGCCGGTGGCATCGTCGGACTGTCCGCACTCCACGGGCGGACACTCCGCCGGTGAAGTTTTCAACCCTTGCTCAAATGTGCCAACCACCAAGTGTATCTCGTTGTGCACATGTGTTAGCATATGTTCACAGGTGTTTTCAAGGGTGTTAGCATTCCACTAGATCCTAAATGCATATGCAATGGGTTAGAGCATCTAGTGACACTTTGATAACCGTATTTCGATACGAGTTTCACCCCTCTTAATAGTACGACTATCGATCCTAAATGTGATCACACTCTCTAAGTGTCTCGATCACTAAAACAAAATGGCTCCTACTACTTATACCTTTGCCTTGAGCATTTTATTTTTCTCTTTCTTATTTTTAGGTCCAAGCATTCGATCATCACCGTGCCATCACCATCGTCATGTCATGATCTTCATTTGCTTCACCACTTGGAGTAGTGTTATCTATCTCATAATCACTTTGATAAACTAGGTTAACATTTAAGGTTTTATCAATTAACCAAAACTAAACTAGAGCTTTCAACCGGCCAGCCATCATCAAGTGCGGACTCAAGAAGGTGTGCCTCCTAGATAGCAGGTAGCAAGCGTCCAGGAGTTGGAGCAGCCATTGATGCCCCAAGAGAACAATGTCCCCGATGATGAGGCCTCTGTGTCGAGCAGAGGTGGTTTGATAAGCAGGTGTTTCTCCTTTCCATCTAATTTTTGTTAACAATTCCTTGATTTCATAATGATAACCCTGTTTAGATTAGCATCCAGATAGCAACTCAGACATTATAGTCAATCCATTGATAAACATTCAGTCTGACATTCTTGCTACATTCTTGTTGTGCAAATAATTCAGCAAAATTCTTTGCCATTGAGCTTTTCTGAAAACCACCTGGAACTTGTGAATTACAATGTGCGATAGCTTAAATCATCATGGTTTTTTAAGGACATTGACTGTTATTGGTGTGCACTTGGTTTTCCTTTGAATTCTGAAAGTAAAAGTCAATTACACAAATACAAAGGATGTTGCAAGCTAATTCCTATATGCCTATGTGATTAGAATGTTAGTTCTGAACATTCTTACACTTTTTTCTTAGTTTAGGATTTCCATTCAACATATGGCTATCATGATATGATTTTACAACCTTACTATCATGTAGTCTCTACTGTAATTCTTACTCAATGTATCTGCAGGAGTTCAATAGAGAAACAAGCTTTACATCAAGATTTTGATCCAAATAAATTGTCTGCAAGATTGAGGAAGCTGCAAAAGTGTCAAGTTTTTTTATTGATTATGGCATATAGTCTCAGTTTATATCATATTTTAACTATCTATGTATTTGTATGGAGAGACGTGTGACATATTTCGTCTAGTAGAATTTTCATAAAGTACAGAGAAATGTTGTCAAATATTTTTTTTGGTTAAATTTGAGTTTTGCATGTTTCAGTTTTTCGTTCTAGAAAGAATCTAACGTTTTCGTTTGGACAGCATGCGTAGTTTAAATGTGCCAGTTTTTTTTTTTGATTTTTGAGATATTTGTTATATCCTCGGATTTCTACCCCTGTTTAGCATGTTTTCTTATGTTACTTTCTTATTCACTTGCATTTTATGTTTTTTTATCTACCATAAGTATCATCGGATGATCCTTCATGCATACATATATATATATACTATTGGTTTGTCCAAGCAGTTATAAATTAACACGTGATTATCTCCTGAGAAAGCTTCCAAATAGCAACGGGGAAATTACCCCACGCAGGGATATTTCCCCAGCAGGTGGACGGGGATTGACTTGTCCACAGAATTCCCTACCACCCGATTACTTCACCGGGTTAATCACCCCGTGGCTGCCAAAGTAGCGAACAGTTGCGTACGCCCCCGCCACGGGGTTCCGTCCCGTCCCCTTGGCCCTTGCCTCGCTGTCCCGCACGTGGTCGCTCCCCCCTCCGCCTCTTCCTCACCGACGCCAAGGCCCCACGCCACGTCTCCCCACCTGTCAGCGAGGCTGCCACGTCCCGTGGGGGGCCTACCGTCTTCCGCAGGCGGCTCTCCTCCGCCTCCTACTTTAGCAGTACCCCCGGCGCTAACACGACACAACCCCGCTCGTGTACTGCCGCTACTCTAATTAGTCTACTCGACCACTGCAGCTCGCTCGCTCGTGAGGGATTCGTTAGGGGTGGTGGACGGGTGGGAGCGTAGTAGAGAGCGTCGTAGACAGACAGGGACGCCGCGGCGTGTGGCATTGTTCGAGGGCCGGCAGCTGTGCGGTGGGAGAGGGAATGGACGAGGAGGAGCTGGTGATGGCGATGTCGGCGGCGAGCTCCGAGTGCAGCAGCGGCTGCCAGTCCGGCTGGACCACCTACCTCGACGACCACACGTCTTCCTACTCCTGCGGCACCGCGCGGTTCCATCACGGCAAGGCGCGGCAGCCGTACTACTGCCACTACTCGGAGGAGGACGACCTGTCTATGATCTCCGACGCCTCCTCCGGCCCGCGCCAGCAGAGCTCCGCCGGCAACGACGTCGAAGGTGGTGGCGCCGCCGCGGTGCACGCCAATGCGGAGAGGAGAGGGAGGCGGGAGGAGACGACCGCCGCGGCGAGGCGGCAGAGCAAGAGGGCCGCCGCCGCGTCCCTGCTTGAGGACACGGCCAGCTCGCCGGCCTTCTCTGGCTACTCCAAGGTAGGTAGCTAGGTGTACGTGGCGTGCCCATGCGCTGCGCGTACGCGTCGTGCTTCGAATCCACCCGCCCTGTCCTTGGTGATTGCTGACGTCAAGTTTGCTTCTTAATTTGCAGGCGATGAACTCGGGGGAGGACAATGGCTATGGCGGCGCCGATGCCCAGATGACAGAGATCGGCAATGCCGCCGACTTCTCCTACGCCTACTCCACCACGACGGGATTCAAGGTGCGCCACTTACTGCTCATGAGCCATGACCGACATTCGCTTACGGTGCCGACTAATTTGGCTCTGCATTTTCCTGTTCTTGCAGTCTCCCTTAAATGGAGCTGCTTTGAGCGGCTACATGCAAATGCAGTACTCCCCGGCTCCCGTCAAGCCGATGCCCAGAAGACAGGTGAGTGAGTGAGCATTCCTTCCGGTTCCAGCACGCTGCTCTGTTTCTTGTTAAGACAAACTGTCATATGTATAGCCACCATCCTTGCTGGATTCGTATGTATCTGAGCTTACCAAAAGAAAACATTTCTGCAGGTGTGCAGAGATGCGTCGGAGAAGAAGAGGTGGTGAGTGGTGACTGCCGCGTGTTGATCGAAGGTGGTGACTGCCGATGCCGGTTGGAGTGAAGGATGTCCGTGCTCCGTGGGTTGCTCGGCGGCTCTGCTTTGTCCATGTCCCTGTCCCTGGAAGCCGTAGGAGATGACATGCAGGCAGGCTCGACGAGTGCGTTTGCAAATCTTCTCCAGATCTCCAAGAGATCTTCCCTTGCGTTGCGTCCAGTAATCCCCACCTGCTTTGCCACCTCTCTCTCTCTCTCTCCATGTCCCTTGTGTGTGTTTTCCACTGTGGCTCTCTGCGCCTGTTCGCGCTGTTGTTTAAATACAGGTTGTAAAGTTTTTTGGGTGTTACATCGGGTGTCACACGTGGTGTCGTCCTAATTAATTCGTCATTAGCACATGCGTTACTGTAACACCATATTATCAAATCATGGACTAATTAGGCTTAAAAGATTCGTCTTACAAATTAGTCGTAAGTTGTGCAATTAGTTATTTTTTAGTCTATATTTAATACTCCATGCATGTGTTCAAATATTCGATGAGAATAAAAAGTAAAGTTTAAGGGAAGAACTAAACAAGACGTTAGTCTCACACTTTTTCGCTGTCATTGCAGTGGGAAACAACAACCTGAGGCAAAACAAAACAAAAACAAAAACAAAAACATGCGCGCCGACATGAAATCCCTTTTGCACCTCGCGGCTTTTGTCACTGTGTGTTGTAGTATGTGCACGATCCTCTGATCTGCTCACGGAAGTCAGTAGGAATAGTAGGCGACGGCCTTCGCAGCGCTGTCCCTGTTTGGCGAACGTTGACGTCAACCAGCTGGCGGATCCGTGCCCGCGATCGATCGACCCGTCTACTGCTCACTTCTAGATATTTGCAACAGAAGATTCAGCGCACAACTCGCACCATGAATGCCGGCCAACCAACCAACGGGAGTGTCATTATCCGCGAAATGATCTTAGGAGACCAGCCTGGACCTCTAAAGCCCCCGCGCACGGCGCCACTAAACAACAAGGCCTTCAGATTTCCTTCGTGCCACCATGCATTTGGGTTTTCTTATTAGTCGGGGCATATATAGCGACCATTTTTTTCTCCCCTAGAAAAAAAATTGATAGTACTCGATCACTGCCTAGTGGTAGTGGCCATGCATGTCTTTTGTCGTGTGTGATCCTCACAAACGGAAGCGGCACGGTTCGAGGGCGTGGCCCCCGCAGTCGATGCCAAGCTGGCAGAGGTGGTGGTGGTAGCTAGCAAAAGCAATGGCGACTTGGCGAAGGGGGAGCGTATCCGAGTAGTATAACCGTTCGCGGGTCTGAAACTGGCTGATGAGAGAAACACTGCAGCGGCTGGTTGATAAACAGTATTTTATGATGAGGAGCAGGCTGATTTGGAAAGAACCAGACCAGCGAACGCGCCTGTCTGTGTGTGGCTCCGGGGCTCGACGTACGTACTGCTCCAGCACAAGATCTCTCTGGCCAATTCTTTAAAGCGTCGGGGAGCGGCATGTGCGCGGCGAGTACTTAGCCAAACTGCGAACCCTGCGGCCCTGCCTGCCTGCCTCCAGCGCGTCGCGCGGCATGCCCGGGCCTCCAGCCCTCCATTGGCCGTCGCCAGCGGCCAAGTGCTCTCGGCCTCGGCCCGGCAGCTCGATCCGTGCGCCGGCCGCCACCTGCCGCAACGCCCGGCGCCAAGGCCGATCCGTCCCACGGCTCTCGAGCGAGCCTCGTCACCGGCCCGGCTCCGACCATGCATTTTCTTTGGCAAGAGCAAGACCGATCGATATTTTTACATCGAAACCGATGTACCCTCACGGGGCATGACACGGCGAGCCGGCTTGAAAACTGCATTGCCTTTGCAGCCTTGCAGGAAGTGGTAAGCATCTTTCGTTATGCCCGCAACTACAGTTGAGAACATACTCCTGCTGCTCCGCTCCGCTGCTGTACTATACCCATACAATACCCCATCTGCCATCCTGTTGGTGAATGTTGAGGGAATATATTTACAGTGTTGCTATTAATACAAGTATATGCATATTTTTGGATCCCAAAGCTAATAATTAGCCCATGTTTTTTTATACCAATTAGAACGCCTAAATGTGGACTAATTATAGGCTAAAAAGAGCTAATGAGGGCTAATTTATGGTTAGAATCTATTAGCCCTTAATAGCCGACAATTAGCTTATGCTTAATCCATTTTTTTTCTTACAAGATGGGCTATTTTTTGTCCCTATATATGGTGACCTGATGATCTTTTTTGTTGTTTCCACCCTCTGCCCTTTATCCTCCTCTCTTTCTGGTTTGTCCCCCAAAAGGACGGCCGGGTGCATGCATGCGCAAGTCCGTAAAGTAAAATTCAGAGCAGGAGGGGAAGAGTCAACGCCTCAACGGGAAACAAGAGCAGAGCTGTAGGGTGCACTACACTACTGCCATTCGCGTGACGTGCTCGCACCTCGCAGGCATGGTCACTCTCAGAACCAGGGTGGCCTAACGCTAACGAGCGCGATCGACGCGACTAGACGAGAGTACAAGACGGGACGACATAATGTGGCGACCAGCGGGGGCGCATCGCGGCCAGTGGCCGGCAGGCCGGGAGCCTGAGGTGGCGGTTTCCGCAAGACCGCACGCAACAGGCGGGGTGCCGCCGTGCCGGCCGGCCCCGTGGCGTCAGAAAGGATGGGCGCGTGATTGTTCGTATCGCGCGTATGATACGTACGTGCACCAGCTAGCCTGTTCGCTTGCTCGTAAACGATCGTAAATTTCCAGTTGGGAATATTATTTTTCTCTTACACCAAACCAGCCAACAGTAAATAATCCACGATACGATACGGCCCCCCGAACAGGCTGGGCCGGCCGGCCTCGCCGCGCTGGCGATGATGGTGTGTGCGCCAGCAGCCATCATCGATCGAATCGATCCATCCCTTGCCGTTGCCGCCGTACCACGTCGCGCACCAGGATCTGTGCGCCGTCTGAAGCCCTCTGCGCGGATGCGATTCCTCCTGCTTGCTATTGGCCCTGTTTGGATACTCTAACTAAGTTAGAGGTTAGAGTTACTCTCTAGCTCATGAGTAGCCCTAAACTAACTCTAGTCAAAGAGGTGTTTGGATGTAAGGGTTAGATTGATAATAAATGTACTTTCCCAATCATTTGGCTCCTTCCCAGTCGGATTTGGTGTGGCCGGCTGTTGTGTGCCCTACTCAACTTGGTGATTATTTTGTGGGAAGAATAATGCTTTACGAAAATATTACTGTCCAAGGTTAGTGCAATAATAACTTACCCAACAGCAGTAGCGCCCAATGAAGCAACATTATAAATGACTTTAGTTCCATCCCATGCCTTCCGGATTTTACTTTTCTTCTTTTCAGCTGAAAACGTCTTCCTAAGCGCTGGAACATGAACAGTCAAAAAGTTTAACATCAGAATATCCAATAAAAACCTATTTCAGCGTTCGTCTTAATTAAGAGAAGAAAAAGTAAACCTTTCTGAAGTTGATCTGGAGACATGTCCTGCACAAACATGAAATTCACACATTAAATATATAAAGCACCCCTTGTACAAGATGCAGAGACATGAAACTCCTCGCTCAGTATGATGATCTCATCAGGTGAAGAAAATTGCTACCTTGGTCCCTTTAAGTGATAACAAGTATGCAGCCATAAAGGAAGTAATCCCATCAACCACATCCACCTGCTTAACAAGAACATATCCATCATCTAAGTCACCATCTTCCCACAAATCCACCGACTTTATTATATTCCATGATGTATCGATTCCTTTGTGCCAAAGAACAGAGAAGTTTTCAAAGTACAGTGGTTACTATTTCAAGAAAAATAGAGTGAATATGCACCAAAAAAAAGAGTGAAAGGAACATATCTGAGTTCATATCCACTACAAAGGTAATTTGAGCCAGACATTTTATCATCTCTTATGTACTTTTTATAGTAGTAATATATTCATCCAACAGAGGCTTACCTGCACCATTCTGATCTACTGACTTCTGAATACCATTGAGCTTCTGAATACCATTCAGTGATGTATTTATTGTGGCATGGTCCAGCACTGCCTAGCATAGTACTAACATTTTCAGTTTGCTTTATGGTTGGGTTGCATTCTGAAAAGGATAACTTGTTTTCTGTTTGGTTGACATTTGAAAAACAGCAAATAATATATCAGGTTGGTAAACAACCCATGGTTAATAGCAGGCCTTTTTAAGCAAGATGAACTATTCTCTTCTTCAAGGTGTGAGAAAATGTTGACTATCACATTCACACAGTTTACAAAATCAATACCTTTGAACCTACTCCAAAAGCTATGCCACCCACACGCACCAAATTCCAACAAATGTCGCTCTCAGCAAAATGAAATAAAAAGAAAAAAAACTTATGTAACACAAAGGCGCAGATTAGATTATAACCCGAGCTCCAGAAGGAAGCCTGCAGTTTACAAAATCAATACCTTTGTTCCAGATCTCGATTGCTTACATGATATGATTCTGATAGTCTGGGGAAGACACCTGAAACTACCTGACTCGCAAGAGCTTTCTGTATCACTTTTGGAATGTGCTGCTCTATAAACTCTGAAAAATGTTCAAAGGAAGCACTGGGTCAAAAGTCAGTACACCCAGCGTTACCAACAAAGTCTGCAAACTTCTAGATTGGACAGAATTTAGTGACACATTGCACATATCATGTTCAGTTTGACACGTAAAGTAACAAATATAAAATAATTAGACCAATTTTCTTCAAGCATCTTATTGTTGGAGTCTCTTATCTTCTATATCTCTAGTCTAAGATACTATCATAACATAGAATGAAGACATAAGAAATTGACTTGAGCTTTTAGCACCCAATATTAATGCAAGTATGCAACTAGTTAGCACCCAACATTAAGTGTGACTAACAAATATGACTTCAGATATGGAATGACAAATAATACAGTAAGTACTGATCAGAAGATAATGAGGCGTCATAAGCTACACTAGGTTTAGTCTCACCGAGAGAGAGATGCCGAGATC